TTTTAGGGAGTAAACCAATGCTTAAAAAAAAGAAAAAAAAAACAATCCACTCGACTTTGTTTACAAGCATGAAGACGTTTTGCCTCACATTTAGGAAGCTTTTGCGATTCAAAATGTCAGAAATTCCCTTTAACAACACCCATTTCAGAGACATAGACAGGTATGGGGTATTGCAGGCTAATAAAAGAGGCCAAATGACCCCCGTTCCAAAGGGGTTAGACCCTTTCGTCCATTTCAATTTGCATTTTTTGTTGGGCTACTGTAGAAGAGCCTCGAACTCAACACTATTTCTGACATTTTGAATTGAAAAAGCTTTCTGGATGGGAAGCGAAACGTCTTCAAACTCGGAGACAATGTCCAGTGGTTTGTTTTTTAATCTTTTTTTTGGAATGACTGTGACCTGGATGACTGAGAATCTTCACCAACATAAATCAAGGCTTTTCCACATGAAGATGAACCAGAGCATGTGATCGGAACGGAGCGCCTTGCAATTCCCACTCATTCACTCCACCGCACAAAAAATTGCGACAGGACACTCCACTCAAAATCCACACTTTAATTTCCCTGCCACTTCAGCGAAATCGCTCTATGTTCAAATTTTCAGGAGAAGGCGTTTTCTTACATTTTTCCTTCATCTAATTATGCAAGGCGCCTGAGACACAGGGCATTTGATTTACTGATGTGACAATACATGTGTATTGTCTTATTTAACTGGCTGTTAAATTATCGTACTGTAACAACTTGCTTCATTCATGTTGTAATGCGTTTCCTATTTAAATATTAATTGTCAAAAAAAGCACACTTAAATAAAATAAATGCTATTTTACAAATTTTATAATGCAACATTTTTATTTGACATTGTGAATGCATCTCTGGCCTTTGAATTGAAAACCACTCGAACATGTTTTTTCCACTCCGCTCCACACTCTACTGCGCTCTCATGCTCTGAGATAAATACGCTGTTTCTCTAAGATAGAAAAGACACAAACTGAGAAGTCACTTGGATCCATTTAATATTTCAGCGTTAAAATTTACTTTTACATTTTTTGGAAGTTACAGTGAACTTTATGCTTTGACCATATAATTAATCCTGTCCCCCCTGCCGCACCGCCACTGCTCAGAACACAAGGCCCAATTTCTCTTTGAAATTAAAAACTTGTTGAATTGATGATAACAATACAATGATACAGAGTATTGTGGAAGCAATAAACATAAGAAACCAGACAAGAAAATAAACAAGTGCAAAAACACTCTTTTCTAACAGCAGTTTAGTGTTTTGACATCCTGTAGGCGGTTCTGTCAGTTTGCTTATTCAGCACCGTGTGGCAGCAGATCCACATGATCATGAAGAAGCTGTGTTGAGTCTCTCAGGGGTATCATTACCTTAGCTTATGTGAGTATGTTAAAGAACCAGAGAGAAACCTTGCTATTCAGTCTTCTTTACTGTAATATTTTCTGAAATATAAAAGTAGCATAAATTATTGTACTTTATTAAAAGGTTACTTCTTCAAATTTTTTGTCTTCAGAAATTCTTGTTTCCTGATTATGTATTTATGATTGTTTGTTTATAAACATAATATGATGGTAATCATATTGTGTTTATATATATAAAAATGTAGGAAAATATGTTATTAAAGGCAATAAAGGACTAGCACATAAATGGGGTTTGAGATATTTAATAAACAGACAGCAGTTAGTAGAGATAAACAATGTTAACCGTGGAGTACCCCAGGGGTCAGTCATTGTGCCAAAACGTTTCTTCAAACACACATTGGTCAGATGGGTTAAAGGATTTAAGAAGCATGAAGACATGCTTAAATGTAAATAATTTGTGTTAAAAAAGCAATTATAATCCAGCAGTAGATAGATTCCCACCAATAAGTTGATCAGTGCTGATTATCTTGTGATTTGGTGGACATGAGTAATAAATGGTAAATATCTGTATTTTAAAACCTTTTTTCTAAGAAATTTCCTTTATAGTATTGAGTTAGAGAAAAAAATAAATACAAATTTACTGATGATGCGGTTTTTGATGTTACATATTAACTGGTGGTTCCTTATATGACTAAGCATCAAAAACATTTACTAATTCCATTTTCGTTCTTCTGTTTTGTTGTTTAGTTTTTTTTTTCATTTTCATTATTTACAACTTGATCAACCTGTTTACAGCTATTTTCATGTTTCACATTAAATATAATAAAATTCCTTAATCTATACAAATAAGGTTAACTCTGGTACAAAGTAAATACAATTTACCGGGGACAAACATGTTTTACACATCGCATGTAAGAACTGCTTTAAGAGAAGCTAGTTTTATTATGGAAAAGCTGCAGTGATGAGCTAAATAAAGCTCTCGGTTCAAAAATATGGATAGAATGAGAATTGATAATGTTTTCCATATTTGGATGTGGCTAAGTGTTTAGTAACATGTTCATGTCTAAAACGATGTCCATAAATGTGCTGAATTTGTAAATATAATAAGGGCAGAAACAAGACATTTTGCTCCTGCCTGACCTGGTTATGAACTCAGCTTGTTGATTTGATAACTAGAATTAATCATAGGTTGTGAGCAAATCAATTTCTTTCAAGAAAATTGAGCTATAAGAGAACTATTCATAATAAGCTTGCATGAGTTAGTATACTATCATATTTTGCAAAATAAGTAACAATAAGTAAAATATGTAGAGATTTCAGTTAACTCAAGGAGGATCAGAATAAAAAAAAGCGTCATAAATAATGTAATGGAATATTTGTTTACAGAACTTAGCTCTAAAATAATCTATCTATAAAATAATAATAATAATAAAAAAAAAGTACAGTTGATGACTTTATTTATTTAAGGAATTAAATATGCCATCATGATAAAATCAGATATGTTGACTCATTGGAAGGCTTTATTATTATAAAGTATTACGTTGCCTCCCTGTTTGCCTGCTTTGTCTTTAAAGAGGTAGAAAATGTCTGTTAGCCGCCCAGTAAAGAGTTTGTTTTTATTTCTTATTTCATTTTCATTTATTATTTTGTTCATATTTAAAAGCAGTAAGTTAATTTTACGGTAATTATTAATCAATTAAAGAAATCTATATATTTCTATAACAATGAGAAGGAATGCTAAATTCTTCTGTATCTGGTTCGGACGAATTCAGTCAGTTGTCTTATTGTTGCTGTTCATATTGTTTTCCTTTTAACCCCTGCCTCAACTATATCAGTAAAATTAGTTATTTGTTTAAGCAGTCAACCATCAGCACATGCTAAGGGTAGATCAGACACAATATTTGGAAAGTCAGATGTTTTTAAAAGGTGCTCTTTCCAAATCCAGAAAGTTCCAAGAACATTAAACATTGTTTAGCTTTTGTTTGATCAATAATCTTAGTTATCTTCTCCATGTGAGATGAACACCCCAAAGGGCAGATTCTTAAACTTCTTTTCAGGTCAGGATTTTTAATTTAAGTTTGAATCCTAAACACTTATCAATGTGTTTCCCTCCATGGAAGGAACCTTTAAGTTTCGTTTACAAGTGAAACACACTAGATCGGACACCAAAGGAGTTTTTTTTAACAGAATCAGGCAAACTAGTTAGTAATATTAGTCAGTAATGGTGTATTTCTTGTCAAGAGAGGCTGTACAGAACCATAAGTGGTTGATTTAATGCAGACGTTTAACAGTGCTACTTAAATCCTACATTTTTATACACTCAGCAGCCATAGTGGGTTTTAAAGGCATGAAAAGTTTGAATATTAATTGAATTTTTAATCCCAAGAGGAATTAATGGATTTTTCTTAGTCAGAATTTCTAATGTTGTCCTTCCAGGTACCGATGAAATGCATCAGCCACAGCAAAATAATTGTATTTATTTTTAGCTTTTTCTCTAAATCTGAATTTATTTCCCCCTACTTTAAATTGTCCTTTTTTATATGCTTTTAATTCAACAAACCAAGTTAAATTGCTCCCCAAATTTTTCTTGTCAATGTAAAAATCCACTAGCAGGAAAATAAAAATGAATAGAACATTATTGATCTGACAATGGAGAAATTAACTCTCTGCATTTAACCCATCCCCTTGGGGAGCAGTGAGCTGCCACTGCTCATTATCCTGGGAGCAATCAGGGGTTAAGGGTCTTGCTCAGAGACCCAGAGTAGTAGTCTGTGGGTGTGGATTTTGAACTCACAACCTCAAGATTGCAATCCCTATGCATTAACCACTTGGCCGCCTCTCCCCAAACTAGGCCACCACGAGTATATTAAGAAACTTTTAGTTAAGATTTGAAGATTAAGTATTGTTGAAGTTGGAAAAAAGAATAGAGCCACTCTAAGTGAAGGTCATATTTCTAAAAGAGAAGTTTTTTAATGTCAATATGCATACAAAACAAATATGGTACATATAAGTAACAACTTTAGACAGGAGAAGGAGAGGCAATCACTGCCATCCAGTGGTGTTAGGAAAATACTGCTCAATAATGGTGACGCTGAAGGATGTCAGATTTTTCTTCTCCAATAGCCTTTCCTATGGGCCATCTCCCTCCTAAACTATCTTGTGCAAAAATTAAAACCATG